AACTGTCATGCATAAGCTTACTCACTTGAGGTAAGCAATTCTCTATCTCCCCCCCTCCCACTCACATGAATAAAATATGTTTATTTTCCCCATGCAATGGTAAAAGAAAGGTGATCAGATATTTATAGTGTGTCTCCCGGGCACACTCCTGGAATGTTCATAACAATTTTGCAAGGCTGAATAATTCCATACAAACACTGAGCCTGACTATACAAATGCTGCTCAACATAAAATATATCAGCTTGTGCCGGTGCTCTTAAGGCTCCTATACACACACAAATATTTGAGAAAATTGGTGGTATAACAATGGTGGCATGGGCTCCTCCTGGGTGCCCATTACCATGCTCTCTCTGCATGATAATAGTCATTGCTTTTTCACAAAACACTAGGATGTTACATTCCCCAGCTTTGGGGGATTAAAACCAGAACACCATTGTTATGATCACACAGTGCTATTACTATGGTGCTATTGGCACTGGTGGGAATAAACCTTTAAATTTCCAAGGTAGTAATTACTGACGAAAGTGATAGCTTGATTGATTAAACCCCCAAAATATACCAGTTGCATTCCCCTAGTGCATGCGGAATTTAATTATAACTGTGGGAACTTGGTGTCAGGGTCACATTTAAGTCTGTCACAAAAACAAGAAGTTTAGTTAGTTGAGGACCTAAAGTTTGCAATAAATTGTGGTGATCAAGAGGATAATTTGGAGCACAAGAATGACATGTTTAAAATAAGTCAGCCTCGATACTATACAATTGTCATTTGGCTGATAATGTTTGGAATTTGGTTTCTCCCACAACAATATGTGGTGGAGTGTTAGACAGCCTTGCACATTCACTTGGGAACATCAGTAAGACAATGTGGCAGAGATGTGGAATGATCCACTCCTCTCTTCCATACACATAGCTGCCAGGTGGAATGAAAGTTCTTTTGGAACATCTTAGGATCTGCGATATGGAGCTGGGAACTTGGTAATAGCTTTACAAAACATTTGGGAACCTGTTTGTCATTCCTGTTCATGTTTTTCTCTGCTGTAGCATGAGGAGGTGCTTTAGCTCAGTGGCATCTCATCTGCTTTGCATGCAAAAGGTTATAGGTTCGATTCCCATCATCTTTAAGTAGAGTGGTATAGAAATGTCTATATAAATAATAAATACATATCTTTGAATTTTATGGCTTTTCCAAGTTAGTTGCACAATGTAAAGTACTGATATGAACTATAATTGTTGTCCTCCATCGAAGAAAAGGCATGCAAATGCCTCCACCCTCAGCCTGTTTTTGACAACTGAAACGCTTATTGCATTTTGTATTCAGTGAGACTATGCAACCAATAAATAATAATGATAATAATAATGTATTTATACCCCGCCCGCCCTGGCTGGAGCCGGGCTCAGAGCGGCTAACATCATATAAATAATACCATCAGGTTAAAATTGAAAGTGGTTAATACTCGCCAAGACCAATTGTTTCCACTGAAGTGACTGGATTAGTCTTCTGATGGAAGTGAAGATGTACATGTGCTTGCTGGCCATCAGTTGTTATGTGTGGCAAATTGCCAACAGCTGCATTTGGTCTGGGATCAATTATTTCATTAAATGTGTGGGGAAATCCAACATGTGTTTCTCAGATTGCATCCACCAAAACTGAACTGTGCCCTCTGTCTCACCACCACCATCTTCAGTGTTCAGTACAAGCACAACAATGGTTACAAAGTAAGCAGGGGTTGATCTCAGAATTCTTTGGGGGAGTGGATTTAACAGTTGCTACATCTAGGAAAATTATAAATATATGTGCCATCTTTCATCTTTCCAGAGTGCCTCTAACGTGGTTAGAATTTAAATATATCATAATATTAGTAAGAAATGTTTTTGTTATATATTTAGAGAACTTTCAGAGAAGATATAATTATGCACTTTCACTGCTGGAGCCTTGAATCATAAGTGTCAGGTCATTATTTGTGCCATTTCAGCGGAGGAGGACAGTGGAAAAGGAAGATACTATCTGGAAAATCTTAATGGGGTGTTATTAGGAAAATTATCCTTTTCAATTTATGTAGCAATGTTTTTAAGCAATATTTTCTACGCTACTGAATCAAGGCAACACTTCTTATAAAGCAAAAAATGTAATGTGAGGGTGGGGACCTGTGGCATCCAGATGTTGTTTCACTATATATCTTATCCTTGACCATAGGCCTTGCTGGCCAGTGCTGTTGGATGTTGAAGCCCAACAACATCTGAAGGGTCACAGGTTCCACTCCCCTGATGTAAAGGGTAACATTGTGGAAAATGCTGCTATGGGCCTTAAATTATAAAGTATTTCTAATTTCTAATAGCCAACTTCACGTGTCTCAATTCAGCATCAAGTAAATGCATTGTTTGGGTGATGGGAGAGAGTGCACTGACTCCACCTTTCAGCTGCCATTTGTGTCACCCTCCACAAGTTAAGAACGACAGCTTGAACAGGGTACCTCCTGTACCCATGAAGATTCCCTATGTATTTTGGAATTCTGAAGAATGCCTAGAAAGAAACACTGCAATATACTATTAATACTAGTTATTACTAAATGGTGATGTCCATCTGTGCACTTTGCTTTCTCAACCTGGGTGACATTTACTGCCTAGTGCTAAAGAAATGTGGTGTTAGCCAGGAAAATGACTTGAATTACAGAGTAAGTGCTAAGTCTGCATCTTCTTCCCTTTTAATAGAAGGCTATGTATATAGTAGCCGGAGTTTGTATTGCCATTATTAAAATGTGTCTTCATAAATGCGACAACTTGTCACAAGAAAAATTAATGGATAATTGTTTGTGGTCATGTGTTACATTTATATGGATGCCCCTCAGGCCCAACAAAGACAATGTATTAATCCACTTCATAAACAAAGCTACTGTCACTATTACAATTGTATCTTTGTTCATTTATTTTCTCTACGGGTGGAGAAATGAATGCATTATAAAAACACAGTGAAAGACAACACATTTACAGCCAAAAGTTGTAAAACAAGTTAAGTTTAACTGCCCAATTTTAGACAGCAAAACAAGGCAACACAGAAGAAGGCTTTTATAACTTTTTCCTCAGTTCCCCTCCCTCTCCATTCTTTGTAAAGGGAAAACATTGCCTTGGGATAAGATTATAACATGAAAAAGTAAAGGGTGGATAGTTTCCTCTATAGGAAAAGAAAATGAGAATCAATCTAAAATGAGAAAATCAGCTTAGTATTGCACTCACAGTCATTTTGGAATGCATTTGGACAATATGGTGCCAAAAGTTAATTGTGAAAGATATGTTTGTGGTCTAAACTCTCCGGAAAAAAGGAGGAAAGTATTTCATATACTGAAAAAAGAACAATTGGACTTAATCTGCCTACAGGAAACCCATGTGACGAGGCTCCATAGGAAAATATTGATTAATAAGAGATTGGGTCAAGAATTTATTTCATCAGATAAAGTTAAAAAACGAGGAGTGGTTATTTATGCAAAGGAGAGCCTCTCACCAAAATTCGTCTTTAAGGATGAACAAGGAAGATTCATAGCAATTGAAATTCAAGCACAAGGAGAAAAATTTTTGATAGTAGGCTTATATGCACCAAATGAGGGGAAATCTATATTTTACAAAAAGTTGCATGAGACCTTGATGGATTATATGGACTATAACATTGTTTTTATGGGAGATATGAATGGGGTGGTTTCCACAAACATGGACAAGTCACAAAGAGAGGTAGTCACTAAAGATGGCAGATTACCGAAAACATTTTTTGAATTAACTGACAATATGGATTTGATTGACATTTGGAGAACTAGGAATCCCCTTGATAGAGAAGGAACTTTTTTTTTCTGAAGCCCAAAAGACATGGACAAGAACTGACCAAATCTGGACTACTAGAGGACTGGCACCTAAGGTTAGGAAGGTAGAGATCTGTCCAAAAACATGCTCCGACCATAACGCCGTGAGAATGGAGATGAAGTTAACATCTACTGGTTCCTTCCGATGGAGGATGAATGACACCTTGTTTAGAGATCAAGAGGTGATTAAGAAGGCCCAAAAGACATTGAGAGACTATTTTGAGATAAACTTGAATACAGCTGTAGAAAAAAGAATAATCTGGGACGCAAGTAAAGCTGTTATGAGGGGCTTCCTGATTCAACAGAATTCAGTTAAGAAGAGGGCCCAAAATGTAAAGAAAGAAAAAATCTGGAAAAAATAAAGGAGGGCGAGAAGAAACTGAGAGTGAAGCCCAATTCACAAGAGATTCTGAGGGAAATAAAATTGTACCAAGTGCAGTATATGAAATTGATAAATCAAGAAGTGGAATGGAAAATTAAACAAATGAGACAAAAGACTTTTGAATCGGCAAATAAATGTGGGAAACTGCTGGCTTGGCAGTTGAAGAAACGACAAAAACTTAATACTATTACTAATTTGGAAGTGGAAGGGAAAAATATTCAGAATCCAGAAGAAATTAGGAAATGCTTCCAGAGATATTTCAAACAATTATACACACAAGGGCCTCAGAAAGAATTTGAAATAGAGCAATTTCTGAAAACCAATGGATTACAAAAATCTCTCAGGATAACAAGATATTGCTGAATTATAAAATTACAGAACAGGAGGTTGAAGGTGCCATTCAGAATATGCAGTTGGGAAAATCTCCAGGACCGGACGGTTTAACCTCAAAATATTACAGAACTTTGAAAGACTGGCTAATTCGACCATTAACTGAGGTTTGCAATGAAATTTTAGAGGGGAAAAGAGCGCCAGAGTCGTGGAAGGACGCATTTATTACACTTATACCAAAGTCTGAGACTGAAAAGACACAGCTTAAGAACTATCGGCCTATATCCCTGTTAAATGTGGATTACAAAATTTTTGCTGACATTTTAGCAAAAAGGCTTAAAAAGTGCTAAAAGGAGTGATTCATAAGGACCAAGCTGGCTTTCTTCCAGATAGACATCTTTCGGACAATACAAGGAATATAATTGATATTCTGGAGAAGCTGCAAGAGGAGATTAATACTAAAGCAGTTTTGATTTTTGTGGACGCAGAGAAAGCCTTTGATAATATTTCTTGGAGCTTTATGAAGAAAAATCTCCAGGGGATGGGGGTAGGCCAAGAGTTTGAAAATGGTATAAATGCAATTTATTCAGAACAAAAAGCTAAATTAATAGTTAATAATGTGATAACAGAGGAAATTAAGATAGAGAAAGGGACACGACAAGGCTGCCCAATTTCCCCATTGCTTTTTATTTCTGTTCTGGAGGTTTTGTTAAATATGATAAGAAGGGACCATTTGATTAAGGGTATAACGGTCGGAGCGAAACAATACAAACTGAAAGCATTTGCAGATGACCTTGTATTGACATTACAGGAGCCAGAATCTAGTACGAAAAGAGCATTAGAACTGATTCAAGAATTTGGTCAGGTGGCAGGTTTTAAGCTGAATAAGTTTAAAACTAAAGTACTTGAGAAGAATTTAACACCGATTGAAAAAGAGAGGTTTCAGAATGAGACAGGTTTAACAGTGGTAAAAAAAGTGAAATACTTGGGGATTCATATGACAGCTAAAAATGGGAATTTATTTAAAGACAATTATGAAAAGTGTTGGTCGGACATTAAAAAGGATTTAGAAATATGGACAAATTTGAAGCTTTCCTTGTTAGGTCGAATTGCTGTCATCAAGATGAATGTATTGCCAAGAATGCTGTTTTTGTTTCAATCGATACAAATAATAGACAAAATGGATTGTTTTAAGAAGTGGCAGAGAGATATCTCTAAGTTTGTCTGGCAGGGCAAGAGGCCCAGGATAAAATTTAAAATATTGACTGATGCTAAAGAAAGAGGGGATTTGCCCTGCCAGACTTTAAACTTTATTATGAATCAGCAGCTTTCTGCTGGTTGAAGGATTGGTTACTTCTGGAAAATACTGATGTTTTGGACTTAGAAGGTTTCAATAATGTGTTTGGGTGGCATGCATATTTGTGGTATGACAAGGTTAAAGCTCACAAAATATTTAAAAACCATATTGTCAGGAAAGCATTGTTCAATGTCTGGATAAGATATAAAGACTTATTGGAGAATAAAACCCCAAGGTGGCTATCACCAATGGAGGCAAAGGCCCTGAAAAAGTCCAATATGGAGGCCAAGTGGCCAAAATATTGGGAGATCTTGGAACAAGAAGGAGATAAATTCAAATTGCAGAGTTTTGAAAAACTAAAAGATAGAGTGCGAGACTGGTTGCATTATTATCAAATAAGAGAGGTCTATAATTTGGATAGAAAAATTGGCTTCCAGGTGGAAAAATCAAAGTTGGAAACAGAACTGTTAGATCCCAAAACTAAAACACTTTCAAGAATGTATAACTTGCTGCTAAAATGGAATACTCAGGATGAAACGGTAAAATCTGCTATGATTAAATGGGCACAGGATGTTGGACATAACATTATGTTTGCTGACTGGGAACGGTTATGGACCACAGGTACGAAGTTTACAGCATGTAATGCTTTAAAAGAGAATATAATGAAAATGGTGTACAGGTGGTACATGACCCCAGTCAAGCTTGCAAAAATCTACCATTTGCCCGATAATAAATGTTGGAAATGTAATGAAACTGAAGGTACATTCTTTCACCTTTGGTGGACGTGCCCAAAGATTAAGGCCTTCTGGGAAAGGATATATAATGAGTTGAAAAAGGTATTTAAGTATACCTTCTTAAAGAAACCAGAGGCCTTTCTCCTGGGCATTGTTGGCCAATTGGTGCCAAAGAAAGATAGAACTTTCTTTATGTATGCAACAGCAGCAGCAAGGATACTTATCGCAAAGTATTGGAAGACACAAGACTTACCCACTCTGGAAGAATGGCAGATGAAGGTAATCGATTATATGGAATTGGCGGAAATGACTGGCAGAATCCGTGACCAGGGAGAAGAGTCGGTGGAAGAAGATTGGAAGAAATTTAAAGACTATTTACAGAAATACTATAAAATTAATGAATGTTAAATTGAGGTCTGATTGAAAATAATTGGTATTGGCAAAAACCTCGCGTTTAAGAGCATGGAATATTTGATTGATAAGGTTGTAAAAATATCTATATATAAATAGATTAAGTTTCTTGAGTTAAGATAAAGGAAGGAGGGTAAGGATTTGCTGAAAGGAGTTTTTAAAAGGAAATACAAGTGGGGAGGTGCGGGGAAGTCAAAGAACCAAGGAAAGATAAGAAGGTTAAATGAAAGTATAAACTTTTAAATTTTTCTGTTTCTTTTTCTTTTTCTCTTTGTTTTTCTTTTTATGGTTACTGTTATTTTTGTTTTCCTTTTGTCACTGTTATTGTTGTTTTTTGTTTTTGAAATCCTGTATTTTTGTATGTTTTGGAATTTTTGTAAAACCAATAAATATTATTCAAAAGTTAATTGTGAAAGATTATATCACAGAGAAGGCAAACACAAGGACCACAATCCAGCCAGGGTTAGGTACTTTTGAGTCTCGTTGGTTTTAATGGGAGACTCAAACCATTTACTAAAAGCTTCTCTGTTGAAATATATAGGATTTCATATTTGCTACCATGTCCCTTATATCCTTCTTCCATCTTTTACAGAGAAACAGCCCCTAAAATTATTGGAATGTAAATAACTGCCTTTTGTGATCATTCTGTTTCAGTTGTATTTGTGTGTGTGCATGCATGTGAGTGTGTGTTCACAGCTATATCTCAGTTCTCTCTGCACACAATGGATAGCAATAATAACAACCACAAAGAAATAAAATGCAAGGTAGGTGTAGATAAAAAATATGAAAAACTATCAATAAAGTAACAGCCCAATCAATGCCCAATAAAACGATTGAAAGAATCAGATCAATTGCTAGGCTGAAGTTCTGTCTGAATAAAAATATATTTATTTATTATTTGGAGCATTTCCCTGCCTTTTATCAGAAAGTCCCAGAGCAGACTACAAAATAATAAAACAATACAGTACAACAAATCAGTAGTCAAAAGCAGCAAAAATAATTTTATCCTAATGAGTATGAAATCAGTCAGCATGTTGGCAAAAGATTATTAGAAAAGGGATTGGATGGGCCTCACTAGGAAGAGAGTGCCAGAGCAACTAACTGTGTCTGGACGGAGAGAAGATCCTCTCCCAAACATATCAAAGTTTGGGGAAGGCTGTTGTATGGGGGAAATGTTGTTCTTTGGGTAACCCAGTCCCAAAGCAATTAGATCAGTTTCTGCAAATGAGTCAAAGGTCTAGTAAAAACTTTTAATTACTAGACCTTCGACTCATTCTAGAAACCGACACATGCTCATTGAAGCTGTTAGAATATAAGAGTCACAGGGTTCTTCTAACCAGTCTCAGTCAACACTATCAACTTTTGTGCCCGAATTCATGAGAAAGAGGCAAAATACAATTGCTGGATAAAATAAGGGCCACAACTTCTACTAGGGCAAAAGACTGACTGACACAAGAGCTTGCTTATCACTTCCCAGTTTGGAACAGGATGAGCAAAACCATTCTTCTGGTTAGACTGGCCATACCTTTGAAGCTGAGAAAAGTCCTAATTAATCTCTATCTAGGCCCACAACTTCAGTGTATACTCCAGCATCAATCTTGTTATCATTCTTGTTCCCTATCCTATTCAAAGACCTGAGAAGGCATGTTTTGTTGTGTGGTATTGACTATAATTCTTGTTCAGAAGGAAATCCCCCCCCCAAAAAAAGACTTCATAAATTTGAATTAATTCAGTGGTGGTGTATACATGTGTCTAGGCTTGCCAGTGGCTTACCTCAAACCATAATGATGACTGCAGTCAATGGTATGCATTCAGTGTAGCAGTAAGGGAAAAGTTCCATGAATGCAAGGATTTCTGCTTGCCTGACAGAACCATCTTCCCTCTCCTCCTCCCCCACCCCCCATGTGGAGATTCTCTTTACACACCAGAGCAGATTTGGAGAGCGTATGGGGAAAAGGGGGGGATCCTGTTACAGTAGTAAGCATAGTTGGGCATAGATTCCACTAGCATAACAATTTAGTTGAACACAGCTCAATATGTTTAATGGCATTCACAACTACGGGCAGCAGAAATTTCCTATCGCTCCTATAAAAGATGCTCCTGATTTTAGCACCATTTTCAAAGTCACATAAATAACAAAGGGATGGCTTGACTCCAAAACAGATAAAAAAATAAACTTGTGTCATTATCAGTGAACTACGTAATAGCTTCAGATCTGTATCTTCACTAGGGGGCAAGACTTTATTTGGATATATGAAGCACTAGAAGCCTCCTCCTTTGATTGGTGGGTGTTTCTTAAAAATTAAAACTGAGTTTCATGCTGACTGATTTGTAATGGTGCTTGATGACTAATTAAGTTCAATAAAAGATCTTTCAGTATCATTTGCTATCGTCATTTTATATCAAGTCTAATGAGTATAGGTGCACAGGTGCAATTCACTCATATACAACACTAGGATAGCAGTTTCTCTTAACCACCCAGGGGTCCTTTAGCTTACCTTTTACCTTGCAGAAGAGAATCCCTCAGAAAGCCTACCAATAACTTTGGAACTTATTGCAGCATTTGGTAACTTGGTGGGATTCTACAATCAATAAAGACAAAACCAAAATGCTAGCACAGAATTTAAATAATCAAACAAAGGAAAAACTGGAAAATGACTTAGGAATCAAAGGGTGGGGTTAAGACCTATGAGTCTTGATTGCATCATAAAACCTAAACATATTTCAATACAACTAGAACAGAGTATGGACAGAAATTAGAAAAAATCTTCAAAAATGGGAGCGACTGAATCTATCTTTCCTAGGCAAGATACCAGTAATCAAAATGAATGTCCTCCCTAAAATGATTTTTTTTGTTTCAATTGTTACCCATAATATCTAACCCTAACTGTTTTACACAATGGATAAAATATATACAAAAATTCCTATGGTAAAAGAAAAAATCAAGGATTAAATATAAAATATTAGTAGATGAAAAACAAAGGGGGAGGTTGCTCTCCCAGACCTGAAACTTTACTATGAAACATCCTGCTTAAGTTGGATGAAGGAATGGATAGAACTAAGAGATGTGAATATTTTGGATTTTGAGGGGGCTGATCTGATCTGATCTGATCTATGGGTGGCATGTGTACAAGACACAAATATATTTTAGAAAGAAAGACCCCCGGTTGAGTATCACCAGTGGAAGCAGTTGCAGTAAAAATGTAAAACATGGATAGGACTTGGGGACAGTATAAAGATCTCCCTGAACACCAAGAGGGTAACATAAAACTAAGAGATAGGCAGGAGATTTCTAATTGGATACCTGACTGGTGTCAATATTTTCAAACAAATG